TGCATCTATTGATAGGATCATGATTTTTATCTTTTGTTTTGTTGATATGATGGATTATGTTGATTGATTTCTGAATGTTAAACCATCCTTGCATCCCCGGGGTGAATCCCACTTGGTCATGGGGTATGATCTTTTTGACGAGTTGTTGAATTCTATTTGCTAGTATTTTGTTCAGAATCTTCGCTTCACTGCTGGTGGGAATGCCGACTGGTTCAATCCTTTTGGAAAACAGTATGAACGATTCTCGAAAAATTAGAAATTGAGCTCCCATTTGACCTAGCAATACCACTCCTGGGAATATACCCCGGAGAGGCAAAAAAGTATAGTCGAAGTGACATCTGCACTTGTTTGTTCATTGCAACACGGTTTACAATAGCTAGAATATGGAAAAACCCTGAGTGCCTGAGAACTGATGACTGGTTAAAGAAACTTTGGTACATCTACACAATGGAGTATTATGTAGCAGTTAGAAAAAATGAAGTCATGAAATTTACATACAAGCGGTACTACATGGAAAATATCATGCTAAGCGAAATGAGTCAGAGAGGGACAGACATAGAAAGATTGCATTCATCTGGGTGACATAAAGTAACAAATAAGAGACTAACACCCAAGAACAGCTGTGATAAATACCAGGTTGTTCACTCCATGCCTTACAGGCCAGCCGCACACTCTAGAGGTAAAGGCAGCTTAGATAGAGAAGGGAGCACCAAATAAAGGGTGCTGGGAAGATCCACCCAGGATGGGAGATGCATGCTTAAAGTAGTCTATAAACCGAACATGATTGCCACCCAATGTCTCTTCTGCAGACCACAGCACCCAAAAGGAGAGATAGAACAAAAGGGAGTGCCCTGCCACAGAGGCAGGGTGGGACGGGGGATGGATGGGGTGGGAGGGATACTGGGATTGGTGGGGGTGGAGAATGGGCACTGGTGATGGGATGGGTACTCGATCACTGTATAACTGAAACCCAAGCACAACAACTTGTAAGTCTACAACTGTACCTCATGGTGTTTCACTAATAAAACAAAAAATAAAAAAAATTAATATATGATTTACTATAGTAGATATTTTATTTTTATGCATCTTTTACATAGTCAGGGTCATGTGAAAATATCTCAGCTGAAAAATATTTGTTCATGAATGAAAAAGTTTGAGAAGCTATGATCTTTTGAGATAAAATTCTTTATATAGAATTGCTTCAAAAATGAAATAAACACTAAATTTAAAAATGGGTAAAGAGAACTGGAGAGAACATACAGTTGCAAAGGTGCTTACCTTGCAAGAGGCTGATCTTAGGGGGAAGGCTCTCAGTTTTTCCCCATTGAGGATGATGCTTGCTGTAGGCTTGTGGTAGATGGCTTTAACTATATTGAGGAAAGTCCCCTCTATCCCCAATTCGGCAAGGGTTTTCATCATAAACGGGTGCTGGATCTTGTCAAATGCTTTCTCTGCATCTATTGATATGATCATATCAATAGATATGACAAATTGGAGGGGGGAAGGTGAGCCTAGTGCCTGCCCCTTGCATGACCTCACCACCACATAATGTTCCCCATGCCCTGTAGTGAGCCCTGAGCATAGAGCCAGGAATGAGACGTGTAACTCAAATCCCTCCCCTCCAAAAAAAATCTTGGTAAGGAAGCAGAACAGACATACTCCAGAGGAGAAGAAAAACAGCTGATAAGCAAATGGAAATGTTCTCCACATTGCTCCTCAACCAAAATCTCCAGTGAGGTACTGAGCAGACACATGGGGCAGTCATGGGCACAGATCAAAAGGGCAAACAATATGTGCTGGTAAGTGTCTGGTAAGATCAGAAAATCCTGCTCTCCGCACAAAGCTTAACAGATCAGGGTAAATCATAGGGGGACAGGTCAGGTTGGTGCCCGCCCAAGCAGAGCCCCCAGTGCTGCTTGCTCCCACAATCCAAAATTGCTACCATGCCCCTGGCTGGACTCAAGACAGACCTCACAGAGATAATCTGCTGACAATTTGGGTATGCAGGTTTTGTGATTGAAATCTCCAGGCTTTCTCAGAGCAAGGATGGGTTACCTCCCCCCACTTCCCAAAATTTCTGAAAGCACCAGCAGTCACCCCCACAAACCAACTCCAGCACCACCATGTAAGTTCTTCTACCAGTCTTGCTTCAGAGACTCATAAATAAATCTTGAAAGAGATCAAAAGCCATAGCTAATCTAAAACCCATGCAAAGCAGAATAGACCAGTGTAAATTGGCGGGGGGAAGGTGAGCCTAGTGCCTGCCCAAGAAGATCCTGGCAGCCACTTGTTTCTACAATCCAAAATCGCTGCCATGACCCTGGCTGGAGTTCACTGTCTGGGGTTAGGCCTCACCAAGATATAATCTAATGAAAATTTGGGTGTGTGGGGTTTTGTGACTGAAATCTCCAGGCTTTCTTGGGATGGGCTACATCCCCCCACCTCCCTGTACTTCTGAAAGCCTCAGCAGTCACATCCACACCCCAAAGCTGTCACCCACTTAAAAAAAGCTACTCCAGCCTTACCTTCCCGATAAAAATACTGAATGCCCTGAACAAACACAATGACCTCTTAGCATCTGTATTGCAAACCGTAATGCACAAAAGGAGAGAGAAAGAAGAAAGGGGGGGGGGGGCCATTGGGGGGATGGTGGGAGAGAAACGGAGGACATTGATGGTGGGAAATGTGCACTGGTGGAGGATGGGTGTTTTATCATTGTGCAACTGAAACCCAATCATGAATGGCTTTGTAATGGTATGTCACAGATATTCAATACAAAAAGAAAAAAAAAGAAAAAAGGGAAATATCTTCCTCTGATGAGGAGAGGCATGAAATGATTCAATAACTTTGAAAAGCAGTCTGCGATTCCCAAAATTGTGGAAATTACCATGACCCAGAAACTCCACTCTGAGGTCTACACTCAAAAGGAATGCAGATGTGTGATAGGAAAACCTCCTAATGCTCACCAAGCACTGGTAAGGGGAAAAATTCAGAAAGGCTGAAGCGATAGCACAGTGGGTAGGGTCATTTGCCTTGCACACGGCCGACCTGGGTTCGATTCCCAGCATCCCATATGGTCCCCTCAGCACCGCCAGGAGTAATTCCTGAGTGCAGAGCCAGGAGTAACCTCTGTGCATCACCAGGTCTGACCCAAAAAGCAAAACAAAGAAAAAAATAAATCAGAAACAACCCAACTGCCCATCAGCAGCTGAATAATAAATAAAATGTGGTATATCTAGAGATCAGTATAATATTCAACTCCCAAAAATAGAGGGTGAAGCACTGAAATGAAGGACCCCAGGGGAACTGATTTAAGATGAATTACCCTCAAAACCTGATGGTGATGAGAAGTTGGAATGAGGGATCACTTGTTATATGATCTTGTGTCAGAATACTAGACAGACAAAGGTTAGAGGTTGCTGAGAGCTGGGCCCAGTGAGGCAGAGAGTAATAACCAAAGGTTACCATGTTTCATACAATAAAAATATCCTAAAATTGACAGTGGTGGAGGGCTGTCTGTACCTGTGAAAAGACTAAAACCCGGTGAACTGCCCATAGATTATATTTTAATTAAGCTATTTTTTTAATTGGGGGTTGGGAAGGGTCACACAGCAATACTCAGGGCTTACTCTAGGCTTCGTGCTTAGGGAGCACTCCTGTCAGGGCTCAGAGGACCGTATGTGGTGCCGGAGATCAAACCTGGGTCAACTGTGTGCAAGGCAAATGCCTACCCTGCTGTACTATATCTCCAACACCAAATTAGGCCATTTTTAAAAACCACAAATACACACATTGTAATGGAGAAAGGATAGTCTTTCAAAACAAATGCTGAGTGGATTGAATAACTATTACAGAAAATTTATCTCTATCTGTGCCTCACACAACATACAAAAATCAAGTTCAGAGATAAAGGTTTAAGTGTAAAAGACAAACATAAATTTACAGAAAAATCAAAAGAGAACATTGTCCTGACCTTGAATTAACTTTCTAAAGAGGAAACGAAGGCTCACACAAGAATATATGAACTGAACTGTGTGGTAATCAAGTTTTGTGGTAATCTTTTCCCTCTGGAAAAGACTGTGAAGCACTGAGTATAGCCCACAGAGTGGAAGATGTCCATAGCCCTCTGAACGGGCCAAAGATTCCTATCCAGGACCCTAAAGAAATCCTGAAATTCAGTGTGAATTTTAGAACCCCTCCATTAAATGAAAATACCTACAAAGGCTTCTCAGGAAAGGGGGTACAAGTGAATTTCACCAAGGGAAATGCTCAATTTCACTGGTCATCACAGAAGTGCAAACTAACCCATCCATCTATCATACAATGGGAACTATTGGAGCTTTCGCTCCAACAGTGTGGTGAGAATGTCATTTGAACAAGTATTTGGAAGCACCTACAAAAACTGCACTCAGACACACCCACCATCCAGCAATTCCACTCCTCGATGTACATACCTCCTGGAAAACAGGCACCGAGCTCCGGGACAGTGACAGCTGCAGCAGCATTGCTCATAATGCAGTGACCAGAGCAGTGATGCAGTGATGGGGCCATGATGCAATGATGGGTAGTGATGCAGTGATGGGACTGTGATGCAGTGATGGGGCTGTGACGCAGTGATGGGACCGTCATGGGACTGTGATGCAGTGACTGGGGCAGTGATGCAGTGATGGGACCATGGTGCAGTGACCGGGGCAGTGATGCAGTGATGGCGCCGTGATGCAGTGACTGGGGCAGTGAAGCAGTGATGGGGCCGTGATGCAGTGTTCAGGGCAGTGATGTAGTGATGGGGCTATGACAGCTGCAGCAGCACTACTCGTGGTGGCTGTCCTCTGGATCAATCCAGGTCCTTGGTGGGTACAAGGGAGGGGCAGAGGGGTGGAAAGTGTCTGGTGCTAATACAACAGTCAATGGACCATCATTCAGATTCACAGTGCTCCCAGAACTGAGTGTTCTCTGCAGCATGGAATGCAAGCCCTGCCTCAGGTCTTGCCTCAGTTTACCTGCAGTCCCTCTCCAGCTCCTTGGATTCATCAGTGCAGTAGAAGAACTTCCCTTTGAAGAGCTGCACAGCAATGACAGCAAATATGAACATGAAGAGCATGTAGACGATGAGGATATTGAGGACATTCTTCAGAGAGTTCACCACACAGTCAAACACGGCCTGGAGGGCAGAATGGGATGTGAGGGGAGCAGAGCATCTGCAGGCTCAGCACCGTCATGGGCTAAGACCCCAAGAGTTTGGTTCAGCCTCAGCACAAAGAACTGCTGCTGTCATCTTCCTCTCAGGAGGGGCTGCCCTGGGCTTGACAGCATGGGCGCATGCACTGGACACCAGGGAGAAGCAGAAGCCCAGAGCCTGGAACAGAGCGTGTGGGCGGGATGAGACCAGTCCCCTGCACCTGCACCCTGACAACCTGCCCATCTACGAGACTAATCAGGGCGTGGTCAGGGCTGTGGTCAGCCTGTGGTCCAGAGCAGGAACAGCACACATACACTAGCATGCACCTGTGCACATGGGCACAATACATGCTCGTGGTAGATGCACACTCACAGCCTATATTCCTGGCACACATGCATGTGGGTATAGCACACATACTCCCAGCACCTGGAACATGCATGCACCTGTATGTCTATGCAGACACCTGTGTGTGCAGGCGTTTGTGGACAGGCAAGCATCGCCCATACGGGTGAGGCCACATGTGCCTGACTTTGCTCCTGCTCTCACAGGCATGCATCCCCCACTCGCACACAGGCCTGTACACCCCAGCGCCAGGTTCTGACCTTGAGCTTCGGGAGCCGTTTGATGGTCTTGAGGGGCCGTAAGACACGAAGAACTCTCAGGGACTTGATGGTGTTGATGTCTTTCCCTTTGGATCCTCTAGAAGGGAGAAGCCACACATGCAGACAGGCAGGTACACGCCTGCACCAGTCCCGGGAAGCCTCCAAGAGTGCACTCTGCTGGGTCCTAGGACTAGGACCCAGGACCAAGGAGGCCTCAGCCAGGGCCCCGCACATCTCCCTCTGAGCCCCCAAGCGCACTGGATGCAAGATAGGCCAGCAGCAACGTGGACCGAGCTCCAGATGAAGAAACTTTCTTCTTGCCATGCGGGCCATCCCCATCACTCCCAGTGCTCGCCCCAAACCCTTCCTCTGATTGCCAGGAGAGTGGTAATGGGCGCAAAGAACGGGGGGCTGCCCTGGGACTGTGGGATCAGCCTAAGGCCAGCATGTGGACACTTTCAGGGCCAATATGTGGACATCCCAGGGGCCAGCTCATGGACACTCTCAGGGGCCAGCAGGTGGATACCCTCAGGGGGGTGTGGATATTCAGGAGCCAGACACGGACACTCCTGGGGGCAGCATATGGACGTTCCCAAGGGGTCACATGTGGACACTACCAGGGGTGAATGCACACACTCCTGAAGTCAGGCTGGTGAACAACACCGAGGGTCACCATGTGGACACTCCCAGGGGGCCACACATGGACACTCCCTGGGGCAGCATGTGGGCACTCCTAGGGAACACATATGGGCAGAAGGACACTTCCAGTGGGCTGTACGTGGAGACCCCAGTGTCTGCTAGTGCTGGAGCCTCGTGGAAGGTCTACACTGTTCTGCCTGCCCCTCGCTAGGGAAGACCAGTCTGTCTGTCTCTCGGCTGCTGAAAGTCCCCCCCGGTGATGTCGCACTTACGGGAAGGGACAGAGGCATAGGAGGTCTGAGGGAGAAAGAACAGGAGAGAGGGGGCCCAAACCCTACGGAACTGGAAATGAAAGAGAGTAGAGCGAGAGAGGGGCAGAGTCCAGAAAAGGCAGCAAGGAGAGAAGTGCGGCTGTGTGGTCTGGCCACTTCGGGTGGTGGGAAGTCCCCTCAGGTCAGCCAGAGCAGGAGCAGGAGGGGCAGCTGGGGGCAGCCTCCCCCACCCAAAGATAGGCCTGGAGGAAGAGGGGCAGGTCCCCCAGCTTCCTGCCATGGAGGCCACTCTCAGAAGCAAGGCTCCACCCCACCTGGGGGTCTTGCATGCAGGGGACGGGCAGACACCTGTGGTCTTCTCTGGGCTTCATTAGGCTCTGTGGAGAGTGGGCAGCCACAGCCAGGGCCATGCGGGAGCACCCCAAGCCTTCCCTCCCCGCAAGCCCAGCTGGGCTCCCCAAAATCAGACGAAACTCTCCAAAGCATCAAGTTTGCAGGTGGAGAAGCCAACATGGTTCTATCACCCCAGAACTCTGATTCTAGCCCAAACCAGCTTGGGGTGGGGGTAGGGGGAAACAGAGCATGGAGGAGGGGTGTGAGGACCCTTGGGAGCCAGAGGCACCCACGGCACCTCCCCCTCCCAGAATCCAGAAATCCAGAAAGAGGCTGTCTGGGCAGAGGCAGCCATGGGCACCTGGACCCCGAAATTCCATCAGACCCTCAGAGCTGAGAAGTCATCAGCTCCTCATTCAGGGGGATGAAGAGGGAAGGGCTTGTCTCCAAGGAGGGTTGCCAAAAACTGAGCCGCAGGTGCCCCCCAGCGGGCAGCCTGGCATGCATAGCCCTGCCCAGAAACACCCCCACCCCCCTCTCTTGGCCATGTCCTCAGCTGCCAGCACTGGCCCAGAGGACTTCCTCACCAAGGTCTGTGTGCCCTGTCTGGTCCTTGCCCAACCCCAGCCCCAGGAGAGGCAGGGACATGACCTGGGGACATGGCCCTGGCAACATGCAGCCAGGGTGAAGGAGGATGAGGGGAGGGCGTGCTGATGAGACGGTGGCATGAGGCACTCGTGATGGGCAGTGAGGGACCGAGAGAAGGCATTACCCCATGACGCTCCTACCAAGAATCCAGCATCAAGGAGGCAAAGAGAAGAGAGTCAGTGAGGGCCCTGAAGAGGGCCTACACCCCTGCCCCGCCCCAGTGGGCTCAGAGAGGATGAAGACCCTGTCCCTTCTCTCAGCAGCTGTCACCCCCTCAGGGCCTTCCTCAATCTGCATCTTACCCCGCCACTCCCCTGATGACGCCTCAGTCCCCAGATGCAGAGCTATGCAGCTGCTGCTGCTCTAGGAGCAGAGAAAAGGCCCCTGCCCTGGGGCAGATGCCACCAGTAGTCCCACATCAGCTGAAGGTGGGTGGAGCACTCTGCAGGACACACCCTGTGGGCAAAGCAGAGGCCCACACCCCAGCCTGAAGCACGCAGGCAGCTTGGGGACAGATATACGGGACTCTCCCATCTACACAGCCGAGACCCCAGGCAGGGAAAGGGCCCCCCTCACTCCCTCACTCCCACCGGGGCCCCCAGGGTGCTTCCAGGCAGATCCAGAGCAAACGGGTACTTACGAGAAGGCAAAGGCCACCAGGGCCCCACTGACCACAATAAAGTCCAGAATATTCCACAGGTCCCGGAAATAGGCACCAGGGTGCAGCAGTAGTCCCAGATCAATCATCTTAGGGGAGAAACAGGCTTTAGGGTGCAGAATATTTGTATGGACGAGGCAGCCCCTGGAGCTGCGGTGTGAGAAGCCCCATAAGGGTAGGCTAGAAGTCATATCTAGCCAGGGGAGGGGACACACCAGGCCACACTTCCCAAGGGTCTCAGAAGGCCTCTAAACTTCAATGCCATTGACCCAATATCCCTCTGTGTGATCATGACTAGTTTGAGGCCCTGTCCAGCCCCACAGCCCCAAAAGCATCTGTCTTCTTCTGAGCTACAGCAATGAACCCAGAAGCCTGCAAACACTGAAGGCCCAAAGGCACACATAGCACTGTGAGGGGCTCAGCGGGTGGCCACTCCAGAGGGGCCAGGGCAGCAGAGAGAGGGACCAGTTCTAGACTGGGTGTAGGTGCTGCAGAACCTTCGAAGGGTTGTGAACTCTGCCCTCAGTGATGATCGTGGCCTTGCCTGTGTGTCTGATACAGGACACAATTGTGTGTGTGTGTGTGTGTGTGTGTGTGTGTGAGAGAGAGAGAGAGAGAGAGAGAGAGAGAGAGAGAGAGAGAGAGACCTTCCTGAGGTTGCCAGAGCTGCCCCATGGCTCACCTTTATCACCATCTCAAAGGTAAAGACGCCTGTGAAGATGTAGTCCATATATTTCAAGACCTAGAAGCAGAACGTCATCCTCAGAGCTGGACCAGCAATGGGAACAGCTTCTCTGGCCCCTGCCCAGACCCAAGGCCGGCAGCCAGGCCTGCAGTAGCTAAGCTCCCTAGTTCCCCGGATCAGCCCCCTCTGACTGCGGCAGAGGCTGGCCTCCGGCCTTCCCCCTAGCAGGAGCAGCAGCACTCACGTTGTTCCTGGAGGAATCTGTCTGCACGGGGTCCTCAGCTGCCAGTGCGATGCTGCTCAGGGCAATGACCACAAGAATGACCATTTCAAAGTACCGCATGGTCACAATGTAATGGCAGAAACGGCGGAGCCTGAAAGGCAAAACAGGGTCACCTGTGCCCCAGAGGGGCCAGGGTGGCCCCACTCCCCTGACAGGAAGCGGGGACATGTGTCCCAATCACTGGGGTGACATGTTCTTGAGAGGATGTTCCAGGAAGAGGGAAGACTGCAGGATCCCTTAAAGGGGAGCGCCCTCTCTCCAGCTTGAGACCCCAGCTGTGTGCGCAGAGCCACGGCAGCACTCACTGAGACTCAGGGTGGCTCCCAAACCAGGGCACTGGCCGCAGGCCTCCAGGTTCTCAGGTTCAGTGCGGGTGGAAGCTGACCTGTGGATCAGGCCTCCCTGGAAAGACCCAGAGATGTCTCTGGCCTGGCGGGGTACAAGGCCTTTACACCTGCCACCTCCCCTGGCCAGCACGACTGTCCAGCACATGTGCACACCTGGTACCACTGTCTCCAACCTCTCTCAATGAGCACGGAGTTCTCCACCACCACCTTCTGAAAGCCCTGGTTCCTGCCAGAGTTCTGCTGGCACCCTGCTACCCTCCTTACCCCACATCTCCTCTTGCCTCCTCACCTCCCACATCTACCTGCCTGGCAGTGATCCATCACTTCCTACCACCTCCCACCAACACCTCCTGTTGCTTCCTGTCACCTCACACACCTCCACCGCAGCAGCCCCAGCAGCACCTTCTCCCACTAACCACCAGCAGACAGCCCACGTCCTTTGCTTCTCCTCCTGCTGCCTGTTCTCCCCTTAGCACGGCCTTGATGACAGGGGTTTGGGTCTGTTCTGCTGGTCACTGCTGTCCACCTGGCACAGACACTGAGCCTGGCCAGGAAGCAGATGAGGAACATATGTGGTAAACAGGAGAAAGTGGGCCTCAGCCTGTATGGTGACATGTACATCCACGCAGGCCTGGTGAGGGGGGGCAGAGGGGTGGGTCATGGGAGTGCGCAGGGGTGGGGGAAGGTGTGTGCGCACACAGACACAAGCTGTTCAGGGGGCACAAAGCCAAGGAATCGGGGTGCAAGCCAGCTCTGCCTGGGCTGGCAGGTCTGCCTCTCTGCATTGGTCTCCCACGGCGAGGCACCCGGCGAGGCACCTCTGCCTGCGGGGACAGCACACGTGTGCGGTGTGCACAGCAGGGCCGTGGGGCACGTGCCAGTGTGTGCACAGGGCAAGGGCCCTGAGGAAGGGGACAGGTGTGTTGGCCAAGGGAGACTCACAGGTTGGTGGGGCTGAGACAGAACATGGAGCTGTGCGGGACAATGGGCCGGGGCCGCCTTGTGGCATCGTCAGCCTCCGATTCCTTCTTCCCCTCGGCTTGACTTTCCAGGTCCACAACGCCACCTACAAGGATATAGACACCACCACCCCCAGCTCGAGTCTACAGCAGACCCTCTCGGACCCCGCCAGTCAGTGTGGCAGCTCTGCTCACACAGGGAAGATCTAGTGGTGGACACAGGACTCTCCCCACAGCAGCCAGCACAGTGCTGAGGGCTGATGGCAGGGACAAAATGGCACAGGGCCGCCTGCTGCAGAGCCTCCAGCCCAGTCTCACCGCCATGTCACAGGGGGCGGGTGGGAGTGGCACCAGGTGCTGTGTCCTGAACTGTGGACACTGCCTCCTGGGCTGCTCACCAGGATGTTCCAACCCACAGTCCCAGAGACCAGAGTCACTGGGTCTGAGTTGGCACCTCAGGGAAGATTCCACTGGCGGCTTGGGGAGCACTCCCACCTCCTGCTGGGGCCAGTGAACTGCTGCGCCAGTGAGACTGCCTGCACACAGTGGCCCCACTGCATTGTCCTGGAACATGACCCCATCCCATCCTAGGACCTTACCAATGGGCCCTCTCTCCCAGGCTAGGGATCCAAGGGCTCAGTCCCTTACCTGGTCCCTGCTCTCTGCCTCCCAGCCCAGAGCGGAAAGTTCCCCCTTCTGTGCTCTCTCTTCTCTTCCCCCAGCTCAGCTTCACCAAGCCCAGCCCCTGATCTGCTCCTTCCTGAGTAGACTTGTCTGAGCAGGTCTTCACCACCATGGCTTTTCCTTTCCCACTGACTGACCTGTGCTTCACATCTTGGAGGCCCCCTAGGGATGCCCAAGGAGACTGGACTGGTCTTCCTACCACAAAGTAACCAAGCAGATGTGAAAAGCTGTGGAAGGGAAGCGAGGCCCGAGGCCACAGGACCAGGGTCCCAACTCCTGCACAGAGGACTCCGGCCCAGGCTGGAGAGAAGCAGGGGAGGCCCTGAGCACCTGCTGGGCTGCTACCACACACAGCCCCACTGCAGCACAGGTTCTAAGAAAGGGTTTGGGAACTTTCATCAAACCTGACATTGAACATGCACCCAAGTCTACTCATGAAGCTGTTGCTTAAATTCTTAAACAATAAAACCACACAGAAAGGGTGCACCACAGGAAAGAGACTAAGATGCTTTAGTATGTGAAATATCTTACACTGTACACAGAAGAGCCTAACTGTATGATAACACTGTTCTGTCCTTCCTGCATAGCCTCAGGTAGTTTAGGTTTATTGGGCTGCTCCCATCACAGTGTTCCCATTCCTCTGTATTTTTAACTTCTTTCTTTGTGCTCTGTTGACTTGTAAATATTGTTTATCTCTTTTCCCTAAGTCCTTTGCATAGTTATTCAGAGCAATGTCCTTTTTGTATGGACACAAGAAGACATGCTTTTGTAATGTGACTCTCAATGATATTTCCATCCTGGGCATCTGTTCTCACCTAAGCCTCAGCTGTGCTTTCTTCCTACCGCCCCAAAAGCAGGGTCCCCACGAGGGACTGGATGGAACCAGGGCAAGCAGTAAGCTATGTGCTACCCTGGCATCGAGATGGGCCTGGCCAAAACACCATAATGCTTAACTATAAGTTAAGAGCTTGGTCATGGACAAATGCTGTCATGATCCAAAAAGTAATAACTAGATTTGGACCCTGCTTGGGTTAGAAATGATTAATCTGGCCTGAGTGCTGTAGTCTGAGTCTGTAGCAAGATGTTCCCAGGAGAGCTGCCCTACTTCTGATCTCAATGTTACCTCTTATTGTGTCCATACAAAAATAGCTAGTATTGATATGTTGATAGTTATTGGACTGAGGAAAGGAGAAAAGCACCTTAGGAGGTATTTTGCCCTTGGGCAATCAGAAAGGGCTTTAGAATACCTTTTAGGTGGGTCCTCAGGAAGGGCTTTCTTATGTTGATTTTGCTACCTGACTGGGTGCAGTGTCAGCCCAGACTGAAGGGGAGTTGGAGAGGCAAGAGAGCTGGGGAGAGAGAAGAGAAAGGAGGGCAGCAAGATGGGACTGCAGAGAAGCTAGCAAGGGGGAACATGTGCTTGAGAGAACCTGGGTCCTCCACAACATAAATTTCTTCTATGGGATAGACTTCCTTGTAATAAACTGCTACTAAGAGCAACCAGCCTGGCTCTCACTTCTTCGTCTGCCCTTGGCCAACAGCTGTCCCAATCCAGGCTCAAGAGCACTGAATGCGGACGGTGAGACAGAGCCGTCCAGAGAGCCCGTGAACACACAACCTTCAGCGTGTTTAGTTTTTTATACCTGACGGAATTCAAACAAAAAAGAAGAGGTTTATGATAATGTAAAGAGTGACCAAAAGGCCCCCAGCAGCCTTAGGAATAAACTGGGAATGCTTAATGACAACCATTTTCATTTTCATCACACTTTTTAACATTAAGGAACTTTTCTATGAAGAACACGCAACTGGAAAATCAAGAAACAAGGAAATTTTTAACTTAAGCAAGAAATTTAAAGGACCAAACATGATAGCCTCTCAGTATCTATACTGTGAACCATAATGCCCAAAAGTATAGAGAGAGTATGGGGGAAATTGTCTGCCAGAGGCAGGGGGAAGGTTGGGAAGAGGGGGGCGGGTATACTAGGGACACTGGTGGTGGAGAATGTGCACTGCTGGAGGGATGTGTGTTCTATCATTGTATGACTGAAACTCAAACATGAAAACTTTGTAACTGTATCTAGCTTTGTAACTGTATTTCATGGTGATTCAATAAGAAAGAAAGAAAGAAAGAAAGAAAGAAAGAAAGAAAGAGCTAAATCACTTTAAAAAATTATTTGATAAAGGGAGGTTTTTTCTGAAGATGGAGAACGGGAGGATGGGAATAGCAGAAACAAGACTGGAGCGAAAAAGGACTGAAAGGAGAGATTATCAGCTTAACCAATGGCTGAATAAATAGCAGTACTCTTACATTAAATTTTTTTTTAAAAAAGGAGAGATTATTCTCTGAAAACATCTAAGAGAGGAGCAGAGAGAATGAGTGGAATTCCCCACCCCACCCCCAAAACTCCTAAGTTAAAACACAAGTACATATCTTGTCTGTGAATGCTTCCTTTTTCCTTCTTTGTGTTTCATTCCACAAATGCATTCTCCCTAAAAGTTTCCCAGTTTAAATAGAAAAATCTCAATCTTTGACTTTCTACTCCTTTTCTAGTACATCATTGTTGATTTCTACTCCTATCTGTTATCCCATTTATTTACTTTCTGGAGTGATAGCACAGCAGGTAGGGCATTGCCTTGCAAGCAGCCAACATGGCAGACCCGAGTTCGATTTCTCCGCCCCTCATCAGAGAGCCCAGCAAGCTATCAAGAGTACCTTGCCCGCGCGTGGAGATGTTACTGGGCCCACTCGAGCAAATCCATGAACAACGGGAGGACAGTGACAATGACTGTAATGTCATTCACCCACTTACTGGCTCATATCAGACTTTCAGACCTTTTTAGCTTTACCTTTGATCACTTGATCACGTGACTGTAAGGTCCCTTGTGACACCAAGGGAGATTCCAGAGTTAAAACTCTACTAATTAGTAACTCTCCCTTTCCTGCCCCCTCCCTAGTAGAGCCTTAGCTGTGAAGCCCTTCCTTATTGGGATGTAAATTCTGAAACCATTTGTTGACTCTTCCCTGCTGGGATGTAAATTCAGAAACCTTTTGTTGGCCCTTCCTTATCTGTTACCTCTGTTAGGAACTTTTCCCTTATCCACCTCCACAAGATTGCAGGAGCCCTGAGCTGAGAATCAAAGGAAGCCAGGCGATAACCAAATGTCCATAACCAAATGTCCAAGTTACCAGATGCCCACTAGCCACAATGCCTATGTACGTAAATGCTGATCTTTGAATCTATAGGCTAACGAGTGATGTACTTTTAAATGGATTGGTTAAGAAAGTATATGTTGTTACAAATCTATTAGCTATGAAATGCGCGGGCTTTGCTGTTAGGGCCAGTGAAGGCCTATATAAGATCCCCTTTGAAGAAGTTCGGGGTCTTGCCTCACCTATCTGACCTGCCTGTCTGTGTAGGCGGCTTGACCCTGGCTAGCCAGTCTTACAATAAACCTTGCTTGCTGTTTGCAGTCTCTGGAGTCTCTTTGTCGTTAAAGGGAGATTACGATCTGTGTCCTAACATTGACATCCCCTTACTCATCCATTTGCTCGAGCGGGCACGAGTAATGTCTCCATTCGTCCCTGTCGCATGCCAGTGTAGCCCAATGGCGTCTGCTCGTTCTAGGAACACGAAGAGCCTCAAAAACGATCGTTCAGGGTCTTGACGAAGAAGTCTGACCATCTCATAGGTGGACGGCCATGCGATATTTTGACATCCTGTGGAATCTAGTCAGTAACGGCTCTAGTCCAGAGGTCGTCTCCAAATCTCATTACGTGTCCAGCCCATCTGATTTTCGAGGCCTTGGCAAACGAGACAGCGTCCCTGATTCTTGATTGTCGATGGAGGTAGGAACTCCAGATTCTTTCTCTCACTTGAGTGAAGCGGGTTACTCCAGGCACAGCTCTTTCGATTCCTCTTTGAGAGACCCAAATAATGTTCTCATCCTGTTTTCATAGGGCTCAGGTCTCTGAGGAGTATGTTAATGCAGGAAGAACAGTGGAATAGAAGAGATGTGGCCAGAGTCAGAAGTTCTTCGTCCTCTTAGCTATTTCTTTAACACTTTTGAAGGTGTTCCAAGCCGCTCTCTTCCTCCTGCCGCAACTCAGGTGCCAGGTCATTCGTCATGTTGACTTATCAACCTAGGTACACATAACTGCTGCATTCGGAGATGTTCGTTCCATTGACAGCAAATGGAACGTCAGGAACAAGACCGTTTCTCATAAACATTGTCTTTGTGAGATTCGGCTGTAGTCCGGCCTTTCCACGCTCACAGTCGAAGTTGGCCAGCATTTGTGCTGCTTGGCTAATGTTTGGTGTTATTAGAATGATGTCATCAGTGAAGCAGAGGTAGTGTAGCTGCCGACTGTCTATCTTCACTCCCATTCCTTCCCATTCCAGTCATCGCATGACGTTCTTGAGGG